ATACCAGATGCGCTTCGAAAAAAGCGAAAGGGAGTTTCACCATTAGCTGAAACAAGAAGGAGCCGTTGTTTACTTGACCCGCTTGGGTGTGCAAGCTACCACAGGGTGACTAATAGCGGGTGCCTGGTTACACTTCCTTCCTGAACCCAAATCAAATAGATGATTGAAAACAGTCTGTATATTCCTGAAGTCTCCTGGGACAAAATATGTGTGGGGAAACTGCGGGATTGAATAAGAGCTAAGTTACTGACATTTTCCGAGAAATACCTCAACCATTATATTCTTTGTTTAATTCTCATTTACAATAAAACCGAAATCCTGGTTATAACACGACTGAAAATTCGTAAAATGGTGTGAGTGAACAGTTTCTAAGCACATTGCGTCACTTTTTCAACTCTTCTTAATTTTATCAAGCTTTTTGGCTAGTTTCGCATTTTTCGGCTCATCACTTTTATCACGTAACAATATTGAATCCCGTTTAGCATACGTTACATATAAAAGTGATGCATAATACGATGTGTGTACAATATTTTTATATTATATGTATAAGATAAAAATCTTATGTGTTTATACTCAGCGCGCCACAAGTCGCGTCGATAAAACGGCGTCGGCCATAGGAGCCGGTTAGCGCAAAAACGCCGCGATACGCAAAGGTTTAACAGCCATGGTAACTAAACCTGGCCTGTTTCCTGACCTTGTGCAATATTGTCTGAAAACAATTCGGACGCTGCAAGGTCATGAACGCCGGGCCGGCACAACTGCTACAGAGCGTTTGTTTCGATGTATTTTTTTCACAGCGATGATCGAATACATGCGCGAAATTGCTTGCGCTGATATGATAACAACTAAACAATTAGCTTTTTACAAGCAATAGGAAATACTTATGCAGCTGCTTAGCACAGCACCAACATCACTAAAACAGAGGCGGTCTCATTGAAAGAGAGGGTGCCGAACATCAGTTTCATGTCAGGGCCTGGTGTCTGCTTCAGAGTAAATGACACCAACTCCTTGCTCGGCTTGGTGGGGGCATTTCACCTGCCGATGCCATCTGTGGAGACCTGTAAATTCCTGTTAAGCTGTGCAATAGCAGGGGTATCGTCTACACTTGACAGGGGTCTACAGGTCTCGCCATGGTACTACGTGTAACTTAATGGGAACTCTCAACAGGAACTGGCGAAAAAAGCAAAATGTCCCTCCCAGGCCAAACTGCGCTCCAGCTCCTCTTGTACTAGCACATAGCGGGATATCTCACCACTTCCAAATTTATTGAAACTCCTCCAGAAACAAAGTTAGAAACAAGGCTTGATATCTTCCTGTTCACACAGAGAAACTTAGAGTATGTTCTAAAAATAAATCGTTCCAGAAATCGGCTATTCCCTCAAAACCACAGCAAAAATCAGGTCGCCATAACAACGAATTATCTTCTATTCATAGAATGGAATGATTAGATGTATCGATCGTCCATAATTTTGTTCGCGCTTGATTTCAGCCTTTCTTAAGCCAGAATCCGTACACCATTTGAAATCACTTCAACACTATGTGATACAAAATACGAAACTTCCCTCTTTTCCCCTACTTAGCCGAATAAATATCTTTAAAATTAATATAAAAAGTTTCACGACAAAAGAGAGGAAGGCCATGGTTCGAAAAATACTACTGTCAGTATCGCAAAAGATTCCCACGATGTAGGAAATGTCCGAAAATCGATAACGGGAGCAAGTGCATGCCGAGGACTCTTGCAGTGGCTGTGAAATGAGCGAACGAGACGCAAGCGCAGGCAGCTGGTTGGCATCAAACAAACTATTGCAAGAGAAATGAGTAGGAAACGATGGGAAACCACACTGAGATTGTCAAAACAACAATCGGTAGGATTCCGGATACCAACCATGCTTCTAAAGTTCTGTAATCAATACCTGTTTGAAATACTCTTTATGCACTCTAAAACGTCTCATTTATTATATTTACATTAAGAATTAGAACCAAATAGAACCTTTGAATTTTCGCACCGTCTTGCATAAAAACCTAGACTCGGGGTATGTGACAAGACAATCGTAATATGCCGCGTTGGTGGGCGTGGTGAGCGACGTCGCGTACGAAGAGGCTGATGCCGTTTGGACGCGCTCGCTTTGGCTGCTTGCTCATTTCCGGAAAGCCTAGATCACCAAATCCGCTGAAAACCTGTACACAGCGGTAATTTAACATCCTGATCACCAATGTTACATTCATTCTCGGCGTTGGCGCCGAAACTTCTGACTTAGCCTTACAAGAGCGCAGGTGGTCGTGATATCCTCCATTAGTGCCTGCGCCGAGAATGAATCTCATATTCGTAATCAGAATGTTAAATTACCCCTGTATACAAGTTTTCAGCAAATTTGGTGATCTAGACACTTCATAAATGAGCCAGCAGCCAAAAGTGAGCGCCAAACGGCATCAGTCGTACGAAGACGAGTTGCTCTGCCTGGTCATTTAAATTTGAGTGTTCAAGGGGAAATTGGATATCGCCCCCTCATGGAGTCTTGTCTCTGCTTGATTTCTGATGGGTTCTAGCTGTAATCAACAAACTGATGCACGTCGAGAATTTGCCGCACATCAGATCAGAATGCGTCGCTCGCTGCCGAGCGGGAAATTACAATTGTCTTGCCTGCCTCTCCCGGATTTGCACCAAAATAACCGAGAATCAGAAACATAACATGGCAAACTAAATTAGTACCTACATACCCTAAATGGTCCTAAACATGGAACAGACTTCAAACTCCGAAAGATAGAGTGGACGTGGTCGCGTACTTCATTCACGAGGCGCTTAACGTGAGATATTTCCTTCCAAAACGACATATGTTCTCTGATTCTCATCAACCATCGATTACCATGTCCCAAAACGGAAATATTTCAATGGAAGCGCTGCCATCGCCATATTTATAAAGAGTACGCAGCTACGCTCCATCCTATCGTCGGAATTTGGACTGTACTAACAAAAGGTGGCAATGGAAGCAAAACATATATCACCAGGTAAAGTGAATAATGGAAATATAGAAATCATCGCCGCGGTATTCTGCATGCTTCTAAGTCGTCTATCAATCTCTGTAGGTGCGCCAAAACCAGGTCCAGTTGCTGCAACACCTCTTCTAGATAGGCTAACTGGCATTCTGATACCGTAATCGACAGTCCTTGAGGGGAAGTTTGTTTCGATACCATTTGATACGATGCACAAACCTAAATGTGAAGTAAATTACTTGATTTGTATGCTGGTTCTAACGTTTTGTTAACGCTGTTTGGCTTAGAGGGGACGTTGGAGCATTTAGCACTTTTGATAGTTCATTTGGTTAGTCCACGTCAACTAACAGGTCTCGCTGTGATGAAACCTGTAAAATCTTGTAAAGCCACGAAACGGTATAAGTTGAATGGGATAACTCCTGGGCGAACTCCTCGACTTGGCTGGTCATTTTCAATCCTTCTTTTACAAATAGTTCAAGGCGCACCTGGGAGGGGGGAAGACATCTTGCACTTCAGCTACTTCTAATCACCGTGTCATTGCTTTACAAGAGTTAACGAAAGTAGCGGAACTGCAAAAAGTTCCCTAGCTGCGCCTGGCTTAAGTCACTGACCACGTAAAACAACACGCCGAGAAATGTCCAAAGCTTACAAGTTTGCAGCTCGATATGTAGAACGACAGTAACTGATCCTGCGGCAAAGGTGGGTTGAAGCGACGCGTAGGAGGGAAGTTATACAACTCCAATAGAGACCTGAAATCACTTTTTCAGCGTCCTGTTGAGGGTACAAAAGCCTGACAGAAGTGTAAGTATTATAGAGGAGTCAAGCAAACATGAGTGAAGGAAAAAGCCAACCAGTGCAAGGTGGAGGATCCAACACCTTCCCGAATTCCCTGTTCATTTTTACCTGAATGGTTTCATTAGACTGGATACCCCAATGTGGCCATTGGGGATCCAGTTTAATTGGGGACCTAACAACTTCAAAATGGGATTCTGCCCGCCGACTGGGCCTCCTGCTTTCCACACAATTATAGGCACAAGTTTGACTGTACGTTCATTTGATTGCACTTGAAAAGCATATTTCCTTACTTTTTTCTTGGTAGTACGATCGCTGCTCGTGCTATCAGTATTTCCTCCTTGATTTGACGTGCAGCCGATAAAATCAGTTCACCAGTTTCCAAAGTGAATTTTCGTGACTGAGAAAGCTCTGCTAATCGAGCATCGACTTCGCATGACTGTACTGAGGCACGAGCAATATGATTTCCCAAATCCTGCAATAGGTAAATATAATGGTGTGAAAACAGCGATCGAACAAACAAGTACAACAATCACAAAACAACTTGCGCTTTTTATAATGATCTGATTCCCAGGGAGGTGTTAACGGAATATACTTGGCAAACACGACAGAAAAAAGTGCAGAAGAACCTGCCACTAGCAACAGTTCTTCAATTCAGAAATCATGATCTAAGAGAAAAAGGAAACCAGTCTGCATTCAGTATTCAAATATAGATGTTCAGCACTGATTAAGCAGGACGACAGACATTTTGGAAATCTGGTAAGTTAAAAATTCCCGCATTAAATCGCTAAAGTGCTCAAATCTAGTTAGCGTCAGGGGTTTTCGCCGCATTCGCAACATTAAAGAAGATAGGACGCTAGAGATAAAACAGTACTGAATATTCACACCTGTAACTGCTGCAATTTCCATTGAACGTCTGGCTGTGCAACCGATCTAGAGACACCTCCTGGAGACTTCGGACTTTTGTACACAACTTCTGCTTGTATCACATTGTCACCAAGAAGCGTCACATAAGCCTAAATGCGCATTAGAGCATTTCCTTCCTAAAGCTACTTTCATACTTTGCGTCTTCGTTTTGAGCGCGCGACAACGTTTGCAGCGTTAGGACGTACGGCGGCATTTTGAGAGACTAGGTACGTATCGAATTAGAATTTTACGCGTCTGCCAGCGTTTTAAGCGTTTCGCGAGTGGTTTTGACTTTTTCGGAGTCGCTGAAAACGCTGACGCAAAGTATGAACGCAGCTTAAAGTTAAGCAATACATGAAATAATTTGTGTGAGCCAGGTTGATTCTCTAAAAAACCAAATATAAAGATGTTTTTAAAGCAACCTTCAGCGCATCAGATCCATTTTTGCAGGCTAAAAAGTGCCTTTCTGCTACAGGCTGTGAGACGGGAACTCCTAATCGTAGATCACACTTATTACCGAGGTGTAGTTGTGTACAGCACTCACGGAGACATGCCAGCACCTGAATGCTATGTTGTGATTTTTCTCTCACAAAAAACAGTGAGGAAACCTACACTAGTGAAAGTTTTTCGGGACCGATTAGACTGAGTCCAGATGTATTCCTTCTGCATGTTCTCCCGACACAGTGCTTCTCTTTCTAAAACTTCGGTTCACTTGAGTTCTCGTAAAAATACCAGAGTAGTGAAAAGGATTCAAAGAGAATTTACTGTAATTCACACTACCACTGAATAAAAAGCTACTGCATCATGTTTTGCATGCCGAAAAGATCGAGGTACTGTACCGATGTACAACACAAAACCGAACACTTCATGCTCACAGTCGCAACGACTAAAGATGATGCACACAAAAGCTCAGACCATTTAAACACTGAACATTCATCCCCTATCTGTATAGAATAAAACAAGGATGCCCAAAATAGGGAATTCTTTCTGTATAGTGACCACGATCAAAGCGCTTCCAACACTTTCCAGCATTCTGCTGACCCGATCCCGCCTTAGATGCTTTCTGAAAACTTTACCACCATTTCTAGGGTTAAAAAGCAGAGAAATTCAAAGTGACGTCCTGACCACATCCAGGGGTGTGACAAGACAATCGTAATTCGCCGCGTAGGTGCGCTTCACTTGTGACATCGCGCCGCATATGACAATGTTTCTAGGCTGAGATAGAGACATTGGACAATATATAACCAAAAATAGCCATGTCTACAATTTCGACAAGAAACCTGGCCCTTCGTTCAACAGACTAACATAAAATGTGAAAACACCGAAAACCACTAGGAGGACCAAAACTTCCTCTAAGATGCCACATGACAATCAAACTTTTGTCTTGTACTTCCTCAAAAAACTGTGAATCTTTGAAGTTACAACTAAGGAAGAAGTTTCAGTTGTCACATGGCATCTTGGAGGAATCAAAAACTGGAATGAGATTGGTATTGCAGCTTATCGGTATGTGCACTGATTAAAAAGGTTGTGTAACCTGGGCACGTAATGACCGCTGGGGAGAATTTTTGCAAAATACGACCACCCTCTGCCCCGCTTTACCAGGGGCTGTCGCCGGATAACTGCCGAATTCTTCACCAAAATAGCAGCCGTATAGACATTTGTTGTTGACGGCAAATAGAGGGAGGTGGAATGGGGCGGGGTGGTGGGGGGTAAGAACGATCCCATTCAGTGTTAGAAACCAATTGCAGTGCCCATGTATATTGCATGCGGTTGGGGCACAGTGATGCACGTGCTATTGTTTGTAACAATAAGTCTCTGATGTCCAGGTGAGGATAGTGACAAACAGCCGCGCTTCTTCTCTGCGTGCGCCCTGTGTTCAATACCCGATCGACCCCGCCAGACCAACCACCCTTCGCTTCATCCTTCGAAAACTGTTAGATTAGTATCAGATTCGCCTGGGAGGATAAGAACAGTGACTCGGCTAGGCCCGATGCGTGCAGCACCCTACAAAGTGATTGATCAACGGTGAAGACCTCACCCTTGTCCCCATCCTCTGAAGTAATTGCGGGGTGGCCTTGGCTCGGCCGTGCCTCCCTCCTCTGAAAGGTTCCGGCTCAAAGCGCAGAAAACCAGAGTCGCCGGAAGTGCTGACGAATGGTCCTCTCATTCCCCCCCCCCCCCCCCCCCCCCCAACTGCCTTAGGCACCGCAGAATTGTTCGACTTGGACGACGTCGCCTTTAGAACCGAAAGGGCAAAGCCTTTTACGGTTCCGCGGGAGATATCACAAAACAAATGCATGAGTCAGGCAAAAATAGAGAGCAACATGCAATCAGACCTCTACTATTCACCGACCTTCGCTTCCTGAAAGGCAATTAACTTATCAAAACTAGCAATAGCCATATGCCTTATAAAGTAATATGATGTGTGCGACTTATGGTAAGTAATAATACTGGAAAACTTTATGGAACACACCTTCACGGCTGAGTTCAGCCTTCTTTTGACGTAAATATTCTGCTTCATAAATCATTCTTGGACGGGTATTCGCCTAAAATGATTCAGATTACTTCTATATTGTTGCATTGTTATTGGCGTTGTTTTTCCTTTCGGGGGGGGGGGGGCTGGGTATCAATATTATTCCTCAATCCAGGCATATCCCACAACAAAGCGAAGGTCTCAACGGAGAGCGGAGGGTCTTCACTTTCAAAGGAAAACCCGAAATTGGAATAAGTGGCGATCTTGGCGAACTCAGCTAAGTTCACGTTTCACGAGTACCACAACTAAAGCGACAATTTAAGCAATTGCAAACGATTTCTAACACCTCGGCTTGAGGCTGATAAACCAGTATTACCTTTTTCTCACTCCCGGTCATTTCCTCTGCTGAAGGCACATCGGCCATTTCCTCTGCTGAAGGTACATTTTCGGTCATTTCCTCTCCTGAAGGTACACTCTCGGTCATTTCCTCTCCTGAAGGCACACTCTCGGTCATTTCCTCTCCTGAAGGTATTAAATGAGATCAGCAGCCACCTGAACAGATGAACACCAGTTCAAGACCGAAACTTGTTTGTTTCTTGGGAGAACTAACCCGCTTTTTTTTCTGAGTCGTTCGCGCGGCGACGTGTTGTTGGAGCGCGCCAGCTGTTAGCTCGTAACCTAAACAGGGCAATTGAAAATGAGTAAAGGAAAATGATCTCGAAAAAAGGAGACAAGTCACCACCAATCACTACGAGGCTCGAGTGTTCAGTAGTTTTCTGAGGTAATACGCGACGTTGGTGAGGAAACCCCCCGCTTTCTTGCTCGTTTAAGCTGAGTTCATACTTGCGACGGGAGTATAGGAGGATTAGCGATTCGATGTTTTGGCAAATCGCGCGTTCAAGCGAACCTGAAATTCATCTGATCTTTCAAGACGACAGCCTGACACACTCTCCTTCAGCGCGCATCTACAATTCTCCTATTCTTTCGTCGCGAAGTATAAAGACAGATAAATGACGGATTGAAGTCACACA